GCAAACGCTTTGGAGAACAGGATTAGAATTCAAGATGATCTTGATAAATTAGAGAACTGGTCTGAAATCAACAAGATGATATTCAGTAAGGACAAGTGCAAAGTACTTCACTTAGGAAGCAAAAAATCAAATGCACAACTACAAAATGGGGAATAATTGGTTAGATGGTAGTACTGCTGAAAAGGATCTGCGGGTTATAGTGGATTACAAATTGAATATGAGTCAATAATGTGCTGCGGTTGCAAAAAAGGCTAATATCATTTTGGGGTAATTAACAGGAGTGTTGTTATGTATGACATGGGAGGTAGTTGTCCCACTCTACCTGACACCACACTTTAGGAAAGATGAGGACAAACCAGATAGAGACCAAAGGAGAACAAAAGTGACAAAATGTTTAGAAAACCTGACCTATGAGGAAAAGGTAAAAAATTGTGCATTTTTTGTTTTGAAGGAGAACCTAATAACGGTCTTCAAATATGTCAAGGGCTGTTATAAAAATGAGGGTGATCAACTGCTCTCCATTTCCACTGAAGGTAGCAGAAGAAGTAAGGGGCTTAATCAGCAGCAAAAGATATTTAGGTTAGATATTACAAAAAACTTTCTAAGCTAAGAGTATTTAAATTCTGGAATAGGCTCCCCAGGGAAGTTGTGGCATCCCCATCACTGAAGATTAAGAACAGGTTGGACCAACACTTGTCAGGGATGGTTTAGATCAGTGATCCCCAAACTTTTCAGCCTCACGCCCCCCCTCTTACCCCTGTCCGCGCCCCCCCCCCATCCAAGCCAGGGCCAGGAACAGGGCCACAGCTTGGGAGGGCGCAAGACGTGGAAAGGGGTAAGGGGGCTGAGGCTGGGGCCACAGCTGGGGGTGGGTCTGGGGCCTGAAACAGAGCCGTGGCCAGGAGCCAAGGCTGGGGGCGGGGCCAGAGTAGCGCTGTGAGTGGGGTAGGGCTGGGTGGCGCTCCCTCGCTGCCCCGGGCCCCACCATGTCCCCCCTGAACGTTCCTCCATGCCCCCCTAGGGGAGCTTGCCCCACAGTTTGGGGACCTCTGGTCTACAGTTACGTGATCCTTCCTCAGTGCAGAGGGCTGGACTTGATGACCTCTGCTCCAGCCCTACCAGTTCTATGATTCTGTGATTTCCAAAAGACTATTAAAGAGTGCAGGATTCTATGTAGCAGGAATTGAATATTCCCATGCTTTTATTTTACCTCTGAAAATATCCAATTTAAAAAAATTCTGTAAAAATTTATTTAATTTTTCAAAGATTAAAAAATGCAAACTAGAATGGCTTTCATTCAATCTTCAAGGCTGTTTGACACACTACAGTCATCAATAATTTCCAAACCCATATGTTAGAAATATATTCATCCCTTGATAGAGGAGAAGTAAAACACAATGTGCTCTGCAGCAGTGTTAAACGTATTTTAAAATTGACTCAGCAATATATAGGAAACCTCATCCAATCTTTTAATGAGTCTACTGTTTTCTGTCTGCCCGATCTGAAACTCCGTTCTTTGATATTCAGATGAGTAATGTTGGGTTTTGTTATTACAATCATGAATTTTCATCAGATTATAGGATGTTTTTACATCGTCAAATAAGGTCGTCTTAATACAGACAGTTAAAAACGTATCTTTAATACTGGATACTGGCCAAGGCCAACATATCATATAAATGAGGACCAACTGCAAGGCTTGATGTCTATAAATGCCAACAAAACACCTCATAATGTTTCTTGAACGACCACCAGGCTAAATTATAAACATTCAAAATACTCTGAGTAAATAAGTCCTCTATTCAACTCAACACTAAGGCCTGGTCTACAATTACAAACTTTGCCAGCATAGCTGTGTCAATAGTGTGACTGTGATGGGGTGTACTCCCCACACCGCCGCTGAGATGGGCCCAATCAGCCAATTAAGGGGCAAACAAGGGAGATTTAGGCTGTGTAGAGAGCCTTGATTAGAAAGAAGCTTGCCAGTGAGGGAACAGGCAGGGTTTACATAAAGCCAAGGGCTGCAGGGTGAAGAGCAGCAGTCACTTTCCCCTGAGACCTAGTAAATCCTCGGAGATAGGGGTCTGACTAGAATGAGTGGAAGCAAGATAGGAAGTAGTCCAGGGGAAAAAGGAGTAAGATTAGGGAAGCTGCAGACCTTAACTACTTGGTAAAGGGCTCTGGACTGGAAGCTAGAGTACAGGGCAGGCCTGGGTTTGCCTACCAGCCCCTGAGGAATTGTACTGCTTGGGGTGGTGAATTAAAAGACTGCCTGGGTCACTGCAGGAGGGACAGGGTCAGGGCAAAAGGCGTGAGAACTGCCTGACGCCATTTGAACAGAAGAAACTTCGAAATATCTCACTCTGGAAGGGGAAACTACTTAGTGACCTGGTCGGAGGGCCAAGTCACGAAGAGAAAGCTGCAGCTCCTGGAGCGAGAGAGGTGCTGCGAGAAGTGAGAGAGAGAGAGTGTGATGGAGTGAAAGCGCTGGAAAGGGGTGTTGGCCATGTAGAGCTAATCTCCAGAACAGTCAGGAGGAGGCGCCGTCAAGCAGTGAGTAGAGCACCTCATCACAATGACACTGGTAAACCAGGTGCCAGCTCTTCCAAAGGCTTTAAGTCTCAGCTGAGCATGGACAAATTCATTGCTGGAAACCAGTCTGTTTCACCTGGGTGTTAGTATGGTTAAAATGGGTATTGAACTTATAACAACGTGTTTAGACTTTATGACATGCTTGTAAACTGCTGCATGCATTAATTTCACTTATACAATCTTTATCATGTGCTGTAAGTTTCTGCTTTATAATTGTAAAAAGTGTTTGCCCTGAAACTGTCAACCTATAGGAAGGGATTGTCTCCTGCTCATTAAGATGACTATCAAAACTAAATGGGCCATTGTGGGACACCACAATACAAAGACGTTATTAGCTGTCCCTCCACACCCATGAAGAGGCTACATGCAAAAGGGCTCATCCCATCAGCTTGAATTCTGAAAGAAGGAAATAAAGATAGCGAAGAAAATGTTTCTTCTCTTTTGTCGATTGGATTCTCATAGGGCTGGAGCCATGAAACAGAAGCAGAGATCCCCAGGGACAACCTAGATTAGCCCTGAAAGACATTTCAGTGCTGACAGACTGCCACAACTCTGTCATCTTTTGGAACCATACACTGTAACTCATTTGTGTACATAGGTTTGCCTGCTTTAACCTGTAAATAACTCTCTTGTTTCTTTTTTCCTAGTTAATAAATCCTTAGTTGGTTTACTATAGGATCATCTACCAGTGTTGTCTTTGGTGAGAGATCCGAGGTACAAACTGACCAGGGGTAAGTGACTAGTCTCTTGGGACTGGAAGCAAATCGGCATCTTTTGTAATCTTTGGTGCATATATAACACTGACAGACCCTGGTCACTAGCGGGTGGGATCGAACCTGGCGTCTCTGGAGCTTAGTGTATGAGCCTCTGGAACTTACCACCTAAGCTAAAAGCCATATGGCTGTTAGCTAAGGCAGTAGAGCAGACTCATTAATCTCTTTGTCAGTGGTGTCACTAGATAAAACAGAGCACCACACCCAGGAGGTGTGTGGGTTACACATAGCACTCAACCATCACTAAGTGTAGCTTGCCTGGATGTCAAGACAGTCTAGTCAATTCTAGTCTAGAATGCCCAAGGGACTGTCTGTGACTCCATGGTAAGACTATTAAGAGTGCTTCAGGAGTTCTCATTTGTTACCGGGTTGGTGAAATCTAATTACAGAACATATAACCAGTTTGGGATGTCTACCCTGAGGTTGGCACTCTCAGTCATGAACCACTCCAGACAGCATAACAAGTAGGAACATGATTTTTTGCACATATAGCTATGCCAGCAAAAGCCCTCATATAGACACAGTTATACGGGCAATAGTCTGTTTGCCAACATTGCTTATTTCTCTCAAGAAACTGGTATAAAATATACTGTCAAAATGACTTTTTCTGCCAGTATAAATTGCATCTGCAATAGGAAGGTTTAACCGTATAGCCCCACCTGTATAGCTATACCATCGAACCTTTTAAATGTAGACAAGACCTCAGTATAGACAAGACCTCAGTACTGGTCTGTGACATCCAAATCTAGAGCATAATCCTGAGCCACATTAGATGGATGTAAGGGTGTGAAAAGCACCATAAATGCTGGGGGGATTTTTTGTAGTGGGGGTGGAGAAAGCAAAAAAACAATGTTCTCAAAGGGCCCTTTCGCTTCAACACATCATGGATATAACCCACACAGCAGATCTGCACAAAAGACTGCAGGGAAAGATTGGACATATCTCGTGGGCCTGCACTGAAATCACGCAGCCTGAAACCACAACTCAAGTCGGCTGTAGGAACCAACCAGCAGACTGCATCTGCTACTCCCCACCAGTGGCGTATTATAGCCTAGGCCGACAAGGCCTAGGCCAAGGGTGGCAAATTTATAATAGCAGCATTTTTGTAAATGCGGCATTTTTGCACAAGCCCACTGTCTGTCGGATGCCTGTACACTGGCACCAACTTTTGTCAGCGCTGGTGGGTGCTTGCGTCCCCCCGGCCCCTGCCCCGACTCCACCCCTGCCCCAGAGTCTCCGCCCCAACTCTGCCCCTCCCTACCCCATTGGATCCCTCCCCAAATCCCGTGCCCCAGCCCCGCCTCCTCCCCCAAGCGTGCTACGTTCCCCCTCTTCCCCCCTCCCTGCCAGGCTTGCCGCACGAATCAGCTGTTTCGCGGCACAAGCACTGGGGAGGGGGAGAAGCAGAACCAAGGGGCACGCTCAGGGGAGGAGGCGGAGCGGAGGTGGAAGTAATTAAGTTCATACGGGGGCGACAATTACTTCAGGGCTTAGGGCCAGCAAAATCATTAATACACCACTGCTCCCCACATACCCTTTTGGAGATAAAGCAAAGAAAAAACGTTGACTTCTTAAGAATAAGTACGGACAGTTTTATGTTGTATACAATAGAAACCTGTGTGGTTTTCACTGACTTACATTTTTGATTATGCTGTTTCTCTCAGTGTGTGTCAGTCTCAGTTTTCTTTCTGCAAAACAATGAACAAAACAAAAAAAGACAGATTGTTAGAAATACAGTTGCCAAAACAAATTACATTGTTATTTGATATTTGCCCTCTCCATTATTATTGATATTTTACGTTTTAATTATACTGTGCACTAGAACATTATTCCATCACTGATTTCTTATTAAATGAATGGTTTTGTAGATAGAGAAGTTTAATAAAGCAGGAATCAATTTTGTCAGGAGGGATCGTGGAGAGAGTTTAGTCATTTGAGCATGACACCTAGAAAATCCCAGATGCTATTCCAGACTTTGCCAATGACATGCTGTGTGGCCAAGGCCAAGTGACTTCCTTTCTCTATGCTTTAGTTTCTCTGTGTGTAAAATGGAGATAGGGATGTACTATCTCACAGGGATTTTTTGTAAAGCACTCTGAAGATGTGATAATATAAAATCCCCTGCAAAAGGAATCATATTATTTCCTCTCGCCAATTCAAATTTCTTGTTTATCCACAGAGCAGATACAGCACTAATAGCAACAGTAAACACTTCCCCCCACTAATGTGCCTCAGTGCTAACCTGGTGGAACCATTCTATGACAGAGCAGTCAGTTTCAACAGTTCAGTCATTAGCCTCTGCTGAGATTCCTAACAAGGGTGCCTATTGAGTGGAGGTGGTTCAGGATTTGGACACATTGAAATTGCAGGCGCTGGTGGATCACCGTGGGCATTTCACTGACATCAACGCAGGGTGGTCCGGGAAGGTGCGTGACGCATGCATCTTCAGGAACAGTGGCCTGTACAGAAAGCTACAAGCAGGGACTTTCTTTCCAGGCCAGAAGATTCCAGTGGGGGATGTTGAAATGCCCATAGTGATCCTGGGAGACCCAGAGTACCCCTTACTCTCATGGCTCATGAAGTCTTACACGGAAAACCTGGACAAGCAGCAAGGAGCGCTTCAACAACAGGCTGAGCAGGTGCAGAATGACCGAGGAATGTGCCTTTGGCAGATTAAAAGCACGCTGGTGATGCCTTTATGGCAGGTTAGACCTAAGTGAGGTAAACATTCCCATGGTTATATCAGCCTGCTGCGCATTCCATATTTGTTAGGCTAAGGGTGAAAAGTTTCCCCTGGGGTGGAAAAATACTGCTGCAATAGTGAAACACAGGCTAGCTCAGGTGTTTATGTCTCCACCTACTGGCTGGAGGGCTTACTACAAAGTTTAACTAAATTTGAAAATTAAACTATAAGCCTGGATTTTTTTTTAGGGCAACTACCCAAGTCCCACAGAGACAGTAGTTGTCTAGATGCAATGTGATCCTAATACAAATAAAATTCTCAGTAATTTTCTAACTGTGTGTATTTTAACCACTTTGGATCAAATTTATCCTGGTGTAACTCCACTGAAGTCTCACAATAATTTATATTAGACACATTCATATATACTGTACTGAGTACATTTTATATCATTAATGTCCTAAAATAAAATATCTGAAAAATATTTCTATTGTTCTTCATCTCATATTGGCTTTGGTGGAAATCACTTAAATTTATATTAAATTATAGGCAGAGCTGGTAGGGACACATTTTATTTTAGGTTGTCTAATACTTTCCATTATAAACACCGTATTTTCAGTTTCTTATAACATGGACAAACAGCAACTGTTTAGGCTGAAATTTTCCATACTGAGTGACTATGTAAGGCTGACATTTAATGTTTCGGCAAAAATGGTTCAGACATTTCTCAGAATTAAGTTAGATAAAAATATATGTTTTGCCCATGTCAAATTCTTACAACGGTTTAACTGAAAAGCCCTAGAACATATACGCTTTGGAAAAAAGATCTAAAATTTGGTTGGGGGGTGGGGGGTTACCCTGATGCCAAGTATGTGCCTTTTGCATCAGCATGAAAACCCACCCACATCTGGCCAAGTAACAAGCCGCCATATAACCGCAGTTTTCACATGCTTAGTAGAGGCCTGTTAGAATCTAAATTGTCTGAAGAGTCCATCTGTACTAAGCAAGCTCCTGCGCAGAGCTGAGCAAGGCGTTCCCTGCAATTGCTCCTCCCAGTACCAGGGGACCACAGTGGCTCTGGGGATATTCTCCCTTTTGGTTTCTTTTCTCCTGTGCTCTCAACATTCCCCCACTAGCACCCAGGAGAAAGAGGAAGTTCCCTGATAAAAACACAGAAGAGCCAAGTTGCAGTGTGGGATGGAGGCAGACCCAATCTACAGGCAGGCTGTTGGTGTGGGGACAGTCAGGCTGTGGAGGTACATGCTAAGGGCATGGGCAGAGATCCTGTGGGGAAAACAATAGTGCTTATATCATAATGCATATGCACAAGGGGGCCAAATTAATGTAACCCCCAAGGAGATTACCTAGATTCCTGGGGCTCTGTCTGCTTGCAGCTCATGGAGGGGGAGCCAAGGCAAACTCAGAGTCTGCCTGGCAACCAATAGGGAGTGAGGTGCCCTCCCAGGGAGTTCAGGAAAGGGGAGAAGCTATTTTTGAGTCTGTCTGGAGCCAGCCAGGGCAAGGGCAGGACTGGCTGTGCGGGGAGCTGGTGAGTCCCAGGCCTGCATGCAGGGTTCCCCCTGAGAACTGGCCTCTAGGGACCTGAAAGCAAGATCCTTCAGCTGGGCTTTTCCCTCTCCAATGATGACTCCCAGTTTGTAGAGTTTTGCTGGGAAACTTCCCCAGCCAGACTGAGTTAGCCCTCCAGCTCCCTAGGTGAGACCAGTCACCACATGGTCAGCTCTGATCTGTCTGCCAGTTCAGGGCTGCTGCCTGCTGTGTGTGTCTCTGGATGTCAAGTCACAGGTATTAGCAGCGTGGGCACCGGTGACCCTAACAATAGTGGTTTACCCTGTTATGTTATAGATTCATAGATTCTAGGACTGGAAGGGACCTCGAGAGGTCATCGAGTCCAGTCCCCTGCCCTCATGGCAGGACCAAATACTGTCTAGACCATCCCTGATAGACATTTATCTAACCTACTCTTAAATATCTCCAGAGATGAAGACTCCACAACCTCCCTAGGCAATTTATTCCAGTGTTTAACCACCCTGACAGTTAGGAACTTTTTCCTAACGTCCAACCTAAACCTCCCTTGCTGCAGTTTAAGCCCATTGCTTCTTGTTCTATCCTTAGAGGCCAAGGTGAACAAGTTTTCTCCCTCCTCCTTATGACACCCTTTTAGATCCCTGAAAACTGCTATCATGTCCCCTCTCAGTCTTCTCTTTTCCAAACTAAACAAACCCAATTCTTTCAGCCTTTCTTCATAGGTCATGTTCTCAAGACCTTTAATCATTCTTGTTGCTCTTCTCTGGACCCTCTCCAGTTTCTCCACATCTTTCTTGAAATGAGGTGCCCAGAACTGGACACAATACTCCATCTGAGGCCTAACCAGCGCAGAGTAGATTGGAAGAATGACTTCTCGTGTCTTGCTCACAACACACCTGTTAGTACATCCCAGAATCATGTTTGCTTTTTTTGCTTTTTTTTGTTATATTTGTCTCCTGTTTAATATAATTATTGTGTTGAATATATTGTATGTGTTTCTGTTATTTCTTGGAAGTCTCCAACTATCTGGCCCTAATCAGAGCAGAGTAGAGTGGAAGAATTACTTCTCGTGTCTTACTTACAACACTCCTGCTAATACATTCCAGAATGATGTTTTCTTTTTTTGCAACAGCGTTACACTGTTCACTCATATTTCGCTTGTGGTCCAGTATGACCCCCAGATCCCTTTCCACAGAACAGTACTCCTTCCTAGGTGGACTGTTCCTATTTTGTATGTCTGCAACTGATTGGTCCTTCCTAAATGGAGTACTTTGCATTTGTCTTTATTGAATTTCATCCTATTTACTTCAGACCATACTTCAGAGTGTTTTTAATGCATATATGGGAGCTCTCTGTTACTGTTTTTGCTAATCAAGAGGCTGGTAATCCTCCCTTGTGTGACCTAGCATGCTGATAAGTTGCACCTGAATGATTCATTTTCTGTTGGAGCAAACTCAGGAAGAGTGACTTGAAAGCCTTAAAATTCTGTTGTGTAGAGGTGGAAACACCTGATATTGGTTCAGTTTCCTTTTGGCCTGCACTTATTATTATGAGAATAACCATAACTTCTGGAACTCCTCTCATCCAAGGATCTCAAAGTGGTTTGCAACTTTTTTTTTGATGAAGCCTCACAACATCCCTGGTGGTAGGTAGGTAGTGGTAGGTAAATACTATTGTACCCATCTTACAAAAGGACATATTGAGATACAGAGAGATTAACTGACATGCACAATAAATCAACGGCAGGTCTAGGAATAGGACCCAGGAGTCCTGGCTCCCAGTCACCTGTTCTGCAAGTATTTTTAAAATATTGTACCCACCAGTTTGGAGGCAGCATATTCCAGTGGCTAGTTGGGCACAGAACTGGCCTGAGAATCTGTCCATCCTTTTATTTAATTAATTTGTTTATTTAGTATCACAAAGCAGGGAGAAACTTTAGCTTTTATCTGGAACAGACTAAATCCTTAAAATGCCTGTGCAGCTTTTTGATTTTTGGTACATTAATTACCTTGATCTAGCCCTGTCTGTCAAAACAAAACTTGTCTGGTTTGACTGCATTTTTCAGGTTTTTGTTGTTGTTGTTGTTCCTTACCAGTCCTATAAGACTAACACAGTGTTAAAGCACATTCAGCTAGATTGCTAGTAGTGTCAGATCTGTTCTTGTTCGGGAGATTTGCAAGGCAGTCGTGGAGTTCTGTACATTTGTTCAGCGAATTATTGGTTGGTCTCAGCACTTAGACATGAATCAGAGTATGAATTATTGGGTTTTAGAGAATCTATTTCAATGGGAGAGTAGCCCAGCTCTCCCACTTTGACAGTTTTGGGAATCTGTGAACTTTTGAATTCCAATTTGATTTTATGACGTCCGTGTTTGATTATACTCTTAATGATCAATGCTCAAACCACTGAGCTATCCCTCCCCACAATGTCATTCCTCTCCTGTTAAGGGGAGGGAGTATG